GCTCAACTAAACATTTAAAACATCATGTCAAGCAATAAATCTTAGAAGAAATACATGGGTGATGTTTTATATGGGTAATGTTACAAAATATATAGTATCAAAGAAAAATCTTGACAAATAATATCAATTGAAGATACTCAATTCAACATCTAATAGCAGATAAGGAATTATAGAAGTTAACTTTTTCAAAAAATTGAGAGAAGTTGCAGCAGCGTTGAAATTGTAAAAATTTTCTTATTTAGACATTTTGGAGTATCAACATCAGATACAACCATCGCATGTAAATGCACGCATCAGACACATTGGATGTGGTGGATGAGAATCTCGAAAACAGGACCAGCCGTCTGAACCACTACTCCATCTCGTTGCCTGTTTGTGTCACATAAGTTTTCATCAATGATAGTTTAAAAAATCTATCCATTTTAATTTTTTTTATTTTTGGAATTTTTTGTGTATAATATAAATATGAAATTTGTTTGAAATGTGAAGGAAATAAAAAATGAACTAACGTGATAATTTTTCCACGTTTGCATGTGGATTTAAATCAAAAATTATTTGGAAACTATTGAAAATGAATGCATGTGAATGAATAAATGAATGAATGGAAATAATCATCATCATTATCATCACCATTGTTACAATCATCATCATTATCGTTACCATCATAATTACCACCATCATCACCATAATCATCAAAAGCGATCTCATAAAACCGCGAAAAAAAACTCGTTTTGTCAACTTTTATGTGTCAAATATGTTAATGTGGTTACTAAAATAGTTCAATGGGAGCTTGTGGGTAAACATACGACTGCCTGCCGAGAAAGATTATGAATTTTGAATCTTAGTTATCTCAATTGTTTTTTGAACAAAATTGAAAATCGTCAAAAGTATCATGAGCGTTTTAACGAGAGAAGTTCAAAAAAATTTAAAAGGTGAGGCGGCAAAGTGAGTAACAATAGCGACAATTATTTTTTACTTTAATCCAAACATTACCCCAAATTTTCACAATAAAACTCTAAAATTAACACTTTTTTTTCTAAATTTAATGGAAATAGTTTTGTTTTTTCAGATTCTCTCAAATTATTAAAACAATTAAATAAAAATTTGATAAAAATTTTTTCCCAATAAATCAATCAAATCATTTAGTGGAAGACGTTTTTTGAAATTTTTTTTCCAATCCCACCTCCCAACTCGACTTCAGCCACTTCCAGCGCTCTTGTTCTCACCCTTCGTTTTATCACATGGAAATTTCAAAAACTTGCAAACGTCAATTCTCTTCAAACGCAACTCATCCTGTAATGGTAAAAATATTTTGTAAAAATTGAACATATTTAATGAATGAATTATTCTAAATATACTAAATATTATATATACATTGATATTATTTATTCTAAATATTCTAAATTTATATTCTAATTCTATTCATTCTAAATATTATATATACATTGATTTTTGTTTAGGTGACTGTGCCCAATGAGTCTCTATTGACTCCTCACAGTCATCCTTTGCCTTTGATTTTATTTTTGGAGGTGAAAATAAATAATTAAATAAAAATAAATAAATAAATATAAATTTTTCATACCAATAACTACGTTATAGATTAGAAATGAGCTACGAATTGACCAAATATTTTTGTATGAAGCATCAGAGTTTCCTTTATTCCTCAAGCAGTTCATGGTTAACGATTTTTCTCAAATTTAAATTAACATTACACGTGAATTTCTGCTTCATGAAAGTTGTTTAAAGTGAAAAATGGAACATCGAATGTGGGTTAAAACTCTTCGATATGGTCGACAAAGATACGAAAATTTTTGGACATATTCATAAAATTGAGTTGAGCAGCTTGCATTCATAGAAATAAGCAGTACTAAATTTTTAATAATTAATAATGTTATTATTGTTACACTTCACTAAATTTAAAAAAATTAATAATAAGATCATTTCACAGTCTACAAGATTTTATAAAAGATAATTCTTACGTCAGCATTGGAATCATCCGAACCTAACGAAAAACAACAACAATAATAAATTAATTAATTAATTAATAAATGAATGAATGAACAAATAAATAAGGTTTCATGTAAAAAATTCAACAAAATTTAAACGAAAATTAAAACAACTAACTCACCGCCTTGTGCGAAGTCGTTCGCAACGAGCACTAGAACCAGGAGAACAAACAGCATCATCATTTCGACAGATTTGCTACTTTCAAAATTGTATGAATATATTGAACGATTTGATGTAAGCCTTATATTTGTACGAACATTTTAAATGAATCATCGTTCGTCACGAGGGTGTTAATTAATTTGAAACCTAACATTTACTCTCAAATTACATTTTGAAAAAATAAAAAAACAATATACAGGTGTACACATTCTTTAGCATAACATGCTTTGAAAAATTGCATGCACTTGTCATCTGTATGCTGTTTGTGATTGTCAATAATGAGTAACGATATACCTAAAAAAAAGATCGATTTAATCGTCTAAATTTGTTTCAATCGGTTAAACAAAAATGGATACAACAAAGTAAATGCCAACATCTATTTTGCTAAAATAGATGTTGGCATAAGTTTCTTGACAGTTCATCCTCCCTTACATTCAGCCAACTATCAATTCAAAATATTTGATGAGTGAATGAATATCTCTTGCTTATCAGCATTTTCACACACAGACGTGATTCGTACATTAAAATATTGGCACCTGTTTGATGCTAAGGCATATTAGGAATCTAACTAAATCATACTTCAAACAACACACACGTGCTATTTTTTTGGTATAATGTTATTATTTTATATTGCACTATATGATAATATATTGTAATATACGGTATTTATTGTATTGTGTTGTATTGTATTACATTGCAGTATACTATTTTATAACATATTCTTTCAAAATAAAGAACACCGTAAATAAAATATAGAGATCCGTCGAATAAATCATCATTACCATCTTCATTAAGTAGATCATCATAACCACTATGTTTCTTTCCAAATCTGCGACTCATTTAAAAAGGCAATTTAAAGTTTTTTTTTAATTTTTTTTTAATAGAAATATCTTGAAATTGTTAATTATTAAAATTATTAATTAAAATTATTAATTAATTTTTTATTAAAATCAAAATTTTTATCTAAATTCATTCTACGTTATGCCTATTTCTCAATTGTGGGATTACTTTTCTTTTCATTTTAGTTATTTGGACAATTTTCAAAATATTCTAGTAAGAATCTTAGTGAATGAACTCGGTCATTGATGTGACTTCATGTGGGCAAAAAGTTCAATTCTAGACAAACATCAACGATCACAGATTCTACAGACCCACACTCCTGTGCCGCTTCCATCTTGGACCACCAGTTTTTGCCGCCGCTTCCTTTTGTCAACCAGAGTTGCGATTCGTGCCAGGTCAAAGGCGGAAACCGCCGCCTGTGAGTTCGATTTCCATCTGTACGATGCTGAGTTTTAGTGCAAAATGTTTTTGGATCCAATCTACACTTTTTCAAGTTTTCCTTCAGACTGTCCTTATATTTACAAACCGGACCACTTGCAATACGAGCAGCCGAGGCCAGCTGTCCTAAGAAAACCTGTTTTACAATTCTTACATCCGGCATGCGGACAACGTGCCTTGACCAGCAAAACTAAGCCTGGAGCAGCAGTGCTTCGACACCCATTGTACCACATCTCTCCAATACCATGACAATTGACAATATATCTTTCCATTTGATAAGAACAATAGCTCGAAGATATTTTATGTCAAATTAATTGAGCTTTCGTACGTGGCGTCGATAGGCCGTCCATGTTTCACAACCATATAACAGAGTAGTCAGTGCAACTGTTTTGTAAACTGCAATTTTGATAGCCAGAGAAATCCCATGCTTTCCCCGGACTGTTTTAGTCAATTTTTTTTCAGCGAAGGCATCTGTACGTGCCAAAACCTCCCATCCCGTTAAAAGATGCGATAAAAATTATGTAAAATTTTAAAAGTCCGTGAGAGGAGAGTCCGTCATCATCGTCGTTGTCGTCGTCATTATCAACATCAACGTCATCATCTTCATCATCTGTTATTATTATTATCATCATCATCAGCAGTAACATCATCGTCCTTTTTATCATCATATATTGACATCATCAACATCATCATTAACAATAAGATTATCATTTTATGAGAGTTCAAAAATTGAAATTTTCATCTACAAAAGAAATTAAATAGAAGAGCAATTAATAAATAAAATATCTACATCAATACAAAACTGTCGCAAGACCAAAAACGAAAATGTTAAATACATAAGAAGATAATGGCAAAGATGGTTGAAAGAATGATGAAAAATATCTAAAACTTATGTGGATTTCATCTTCTTCGAATCCTGTGTGTGGTGGTATACGTGTGTGCGTGTTAAGTATGTGTAAATGTGTGTGTGTAGGCGTCTGTGGTGTGTGGTTGTGTATGTGTTTGCGTGTGGTTAAGTGTGTGTAGATGTGTGTGGTTGTGTGGATGTGTGAGTGGCGAGTGTGAGGATGTGTATGTGTGTGTGTGTGGTAGTGTGTGTGTGTGTGTGTGTGTGTGTGATTGTTTAATTCGAGTACTATCTAAAATAATATAGCCGCGTGCAATTAATAACAATAATAATTAGATGTAGTTAATAAAATAAATTAATTTCATCAACAAGCCATGCGTTCAATTAATCTAAAAACATTTTTTCATTCATTCATTCATTCATTCATTCATCCATCCATCCATCCATCCATTCATTCATTCATTCATAACTAACTTGTACACGGATCACCTCTGCAAAAGTAATCACCTGATGGGATAAAAAGTTTGAATTAACATTTCGAATGTAAACATCGGCAGACGTCTGTTTGAAGATTAAGTCGTACAATACTGTAACAACATTTTAATTTAGTTCTTGAATAATGTATTTATTTTTTTAAATGAATAAATAAAAAACTTGTCAAATGATCAAATAAACGAACATAAAAATAGCAAATTGCAACACACTGGCATCATTCTTTTTCTTCATAATGCAATTCTGACACACGCAAATCTGCCCGCATGTCATTCCAGTTTTTAAACTTTCGCCCCCCAGTGGCTAAATTCTCCACACGACTCGACGTACCGACGCATTGTGTCGCTTCATTTTCCTTGATAGTCTTCGAGTCTTGAACAGACAGCATTCGAACCGGGTCATAGAGTAATTACAGAAGACATGGCAGGCACTTCTATAACCATCAAACTTACTGTTATGTCATCATCATATCATAATCAAATAAGTAATCAGTCTCAAAATTATCAAAATATTTTCATCACTATGTTATCATCGTCACCAAAATAAACATCCCATCATTCCATGATCAAATTCATCAACACATCATTGCGATATAATTACATTATCACTATACAATCTCCACCACCATCAACAAAATCATCATCATGTAATAGCAAATATCCTGATTAAGATATCATCTCCACCGTACTCACCATTGCAGAGGTACGATTTACACGAACACGAGTATATGAACTCTTTCGAACATTTCGGCAGAAAGCTTCTCTTCATCATACAACCTCTCTCCACCACACGTTTGTACGTACCCCATTCTGGTGTTGTTGTGGTTGTTTTTTGTGTGGTTGTTGTTGTTGTTGTGGATGTTGTTGCTGTTGTTGTGGATGTTGCTGTTGATGTTGTTGTTGATGTTGTTATTGTTGTGGTCTCTGTTGTTTCTATGTCGTTAACACTTTTCATAAAAACATTTTAAGGTCCCTACTGTAATTGTTTGCTACTGTAATTTCAGTGATAAGTGATAATTTTTATATTTAATATGTCTTGTTAAAGTAGCATCGTACACACACACACACAAACACACACACACACAAACAGACTCACTCACACACACACACACACACACACACATACAAATAAACACGCTCACCAACTTTTAATCTTGGACTCCTGTTTATAGCAATAAGCACCCTCGCATACTCTGCCAGTTCCAAGCGGCATGATACATTTGCTGGTCACGTTGCTGCTGCACTGGAAACACACCACTGCCTCCATGCTGTCGACGCAAAGATGAATGGCTACGATGGTGAGAAATGCGATGTTGGTGTGGATGGGGGTGCGGATGGGGGTGTGGATGGGGGTCAGAGTGGAGGTCATTGGCAAGGTTAGGCTTCAGTTTGGTCGAGTTAAGATATGTCGAAGAACGTTGATGAATAAAGTAAAGAATGTTAGAGAATTGACGGATTCAATGTTGGCTTTTTTTTGCGGTGCTCTTACTCTAAATGACTCAACCAATTTTCTTCGTGGAAGTTATTTTTTTAAAACAAATTTCTCGATAATTTTAAGCTGATAAAATTAAAAAGTTATATAAAAAAAAGTTTGAGTTATTAAAAAGAAAACTATTTCACAATTATTTTTTTTTTACATTTGACCAACTTCTCGTGAATTAAATTTTCACAACTATAACAGATGATAGGGGGAAAATCAATTTAGTTGATTAGTTAATTTAATTTTTATATACATATTTATATATGCACACAAATATTTAGTTAATAAATTTAATTTAAGACAATATTATTCAACACTAATTGTGACTGAACCATTTCCGTTCAAAAACTTAAAATTTTGAAAACCATCCGAAGTTTGTAAACAACTACGTAAAAGAACTATGATCCGAAATATAATAACTATTCATAATTTGCTCAACATGAAAAAAAATGAAGTTTAATGATTTGATACATTTTTTAGCAAAACTGTGTAGCATTTGGTTGAATAAGTGTGAATGAATCACTAATGGGAACGATGAAAGTGATAAGGGTCATGGAAATGCCATAAATCCATCGATTCCATTTTAAAACGTGACGCCATTAAAACGTAGGAAAGGCAAATTATACAAGTGCAGTGGCGTCACCGTCGTGTGTCGCGAGTCAGGTAGCCTAATCATCAGTATTCAAACAATAATTTTTAACATAGGAACTCTTAAATGAGAGTTGCTATTTTGAGTAAATAAAAATTATATTGAAATGTTTTTATGTTTTTACCGCAAAATAAAAATGAAATTTTATAACTTTATTTTATGTTTGCCTTTGTGTTCGCCATTTCATAATTCTACAGGATTGGAATGATTTATTGACGCTTTTCTCCTAGGATATCCAGCTCAAAGAACCTTCGCGGTAGTTCGCAAGTGAATGTTGCAAGAAAAATAGAAAATAAAAAGATGTATTGAAATAATAAAATAACAATGGGCAGAAATTATAAAGCGTCCGTGATTGTTATATTTCTATGAAAGCAGTATCGCAAATATTGCCTGTCGGGTGTATCATCATTATCATCATCGTCGTAGTTATTATCACCATCCCTACATTTGGATGGCATGGTAGTACATTATACTACTATTTCAAGTAAACGTTTTGGATAAAGCAATACAGGCTAAATACATGGTTCTGGAAAGCCACAGTACACTGAAAAGCTATAAATGTAAATGTACTATTTTTTTTAAATGGCAGAAAGTTTTGGCTTCAAACATGAAGAAATAGAAATGTCAAAAAATTGTCTAAAAACTTCAGTCAGACATCGAGTCACTATTTGAGCCGCTCCTAAAAAAATGAAAAATATATATTATTATTATTACAGTTTCTATTTTTGGAAACAAAGGTAGCAATGTTGGTCCAAGCGCATTTGGTTTAATGGTCATTAAATTAACATTTATATAGCTGAGTGCCTGGATTAGCGATGGAGATTTTTATTGTGAAATTAGTAGCAGAACATCACGACAACAATGACGTCATAACAAAAACAATGACATCATAATAAATTAATTTTATTCAGCCAATTTCTTACTCAGAAATAATAGAACCGTTAAAGCGTATTTGCGATAAACTGAGTGTTACGTTATCCAGAGTTAGTCGTTAAATATTTTTCATTTAATTTTCGATGACAACCGCATATTGTAGGTGGCTGTTTCTATTTATAAAACAAACTGCAAGTGCTAGAAAAATGTCTAAAAAGTATTTTGAATTTACTCTGTTAAATTTAAATTTGTTGTATGTTTTATAAACTACAGAAAAAAACATGAAAGATTAAATATTGAAGACTAACGAAGCTAGCAAGGTTCAAACGAACCAACGAACCAACGAACGAACAAACGAACCAACGAACGAACAAACGAACCAACGAACGAACGAACGAACGAACTAACCAACAAACTATTACGAGCAAGCAAGCAAACAAACAAACCAGGCGATTGCATCAGTTGAATAAATGTTTGTAGCCAGTCCAACAGTTTTTATCAGCGCAGATGACCGACCTCTAGCGTGCACTCATTCTCGTTGCAGCGTTGATTTATATTCGGCCGGAGTCGGAGCTAAGATCTGGTGCAACCCTAGTGAATGTACTTGGTTTTAAAATTATGATAAGCTTCAATTGTTTTGTATAAACCGTAAGTTTGGACTTGGCAAAAAGGGTTAATTAAAATATTAGTTAGCTATTTAGTTGGAAATTGAAAAATTATATTTGAACTATAATATTCACAAAATTATTATTTTTTGTTAAACTATGAAGGAAACTAAAAATAGTTCAACTATTAGTTTGCAACTAATTCGTTGAACTATGCCCATCCCTGCATGTGTACACTGTGAACTGTACACATGCAGTTTACATGTATATATATATATATATATATATATATATATATAGTTTAAATATATGTACAGTGTGAGTGTCTTCTTCTTTCTCGTGCCTTATCCTTTCAAGACATTGGCGACCACCAACCTCCACAAAACCCGATCTTTAACACTTTGAAATGTGGTGATATTCAACAAATGACACAAGCACTTCACGAATCGCTGTTGGCCGCGATCTCTTATCCCTGTACAATGTACACCTTTCATACGCAGTCTACTTCTACCGTACATATACAGCTGGTTTGTTATACAGACGTTTATATACTCAAACCTATTCAATCCCACATGCTTATACGTTAGTAAATATACATTCTAACATGTTGGGTTAACATATTGTTTACTTGTTTCCTACCTGTGATATAAACGTCAATTTTAAATTTAGTTTACCTGTGGTCTGTCGCTAGATTTTGTTTATTTTATTTTTTGTCTCCGCGTCATTTTAATGCCATTCAATTGATTTTGCTTGACTTAATTTAATGAATGAAGTTCATAGTGTAATATAATATAATGTAATATTGTTTAAATTGTTATAAAAATCTTATTTTACTGTCAGGTTTTGATATTTATTATAAAAACTTCTGGTTGGACTTGGAGAAGGTGCACCAATTAACGACTGTAGATTAAGATTTGAAGTTCTCACCAAAGGTGCCTGGTATTCCGACGAATATGATCATTTCACGGTTTGTAAATTACAGACATATGATTTCCTAGATTTAATATGAAAAATGGATAATTGAGTAACAAATGTGACGTCATTTCTTTCTCTATTGGCTTCCGAGTGTGAGTTAACGTTTTCGAAATTCTTTTATTCTCTAAAATGCAACTCCGTCAAACGCAGAGCTGGCTACATGTTATTCTATACATGTACATAATAAAACTTTCGTTTGAACTGTCCTCACCACACGACGCACATACACATTATGTATGCGCGTACAAGCACCGCACCATACGCGTGTGATGGTCTTTGAGTTTCGGTCAGACCGTATCCCAACCATGGCACCACGTAATAGCAGCGCGAGGCATGGCACTCCTACCGACCGATAACTGAAATGAATGCATGGAGGCCAAGAAGTAAAAATATGTGGGAGGCTACCATTCAAAATTTAAAAACAGTCAAGTAAAATCAAATTTAAAAAAAAACGAAATAGTAAAAAATATAGACGCAAAATAAAAAACAGCCAAGAAGTTAAATCTTATCGTAGTCAATACTATAAAAACAATTATTAAATGTACGCTTGTTTTTAGAAAAATGTAAAATCTATTTCAGATTTCAATGAGACGATGTTAAATGGCATGGAGGCCAAAGTAAAAAAAACTTGTGAGAGGCCACCATTCAAATTACAAAAATTTAAAACAACAGTCAACTAAAACCAGAGTTTCAAAAAAAACGAAATAAGGAAAATTTTTATACACAAAACAGTTTAAAAAACATTTAACTAAATTCAAAATTTGAAAAAAAGTGAAAAATTAAAATTATAAACACAGAATAGAAATATCAAAAAATAAATTAAATGTTATCACAGGCAAGACAATAAAAAAACAATTGTTCACAATTTTAAAAACGGCAAAGTCTATTTCCGATTTCAAACATGTAGGCAGCTAGCTCCAGTGCAATGGTCCAAAATAGCAAAAATTTACGCTACTATTGTCAAAATTTTTTTATTAGAACAATTATATAATCGCTTCGAGCATCTGGTTTCTTGGTTAAAGAGTAGAACGTCTTTTATTGTATCACAGGGTATATTTACGAGGTAATTTTTTATTTTGAATATTACGAATGTATTTATTCCGTTAACTGATAACATTTTATTACTTTAAACTGGCTCTCTGAGCTTTTCTCTTGATAAAAAAAAATTTCAAAGCTCTTTTCTGCGCTCGACACAACGGCTCCAGTGTAGTTTTTTCGCAGTCCCAAGATTACATTACAATTGTGGAGGTGGCTATAGATTAGATTGCAGTAGAAAGTTGTTGTTGCTTTTTTATTCCAAATTCTTTTAATTATATTTGTACAGTCAAATTTTACATTTATTTTGATTTGATGTAATCTACGTGTTTTTTTAAATCTACTTTCAATCAACTTTCTCAATTTCGAAATCATTTCCTTTCAAACTGTCTGTATTTAATCTAACATTTTTGTTACACGTGGTGTGCTCAAATTTTGTTTTACTGGAGTTGATGAAGAGTTGATTTTGTTTTGAACAGTCAACTACATCGCACCTGACCAACGATTGTACATTCTGAATTAAGTCCAGTAGATTTGACTAGTTGCTATATAGTGTACAGTCGTTAGCATACAAAATTAGTTTAAAATCTTTTGCCCCGTTGACCTGACCATGTCATTGATAAAAACGACAGAAAAAACAAAGGTCCAATGACACTTCCTTGGGGGATGCCACTAGAAGTATTCGAAGTATGTAATACGAAATTGTTGATTTACTGTGTTGAAAACTTTTGTGGAATCTAAGGTACTAAAACCTTAAAATCATATATCTAATGTGTGTCCAGCGGTTCTTTTCATCGAACAAGCTTCTAGGTTAGAATTTAGAAACCAAACTTTTTGTACAATTGAAGAGTTTAATCTTTTCGATGGCATTCTTTCAAATTTTGATTATTTATAAAAACAGTGTTTGCATAAATGATGGTGAATAAGTAGATGGAAACGTAGCTTAAATTGGTTAACAATTTTTCACTTGACATGTTTCCAAACATGCCAACCCTTCATTGGGATCGGTGATTTTAAAATGATACACTGAAGATCACGAGTAGTTGTTAGCACGTCTCTAATGTACTTGAAACCTTCTAAATAAATGTTTACTTTCCTTTTTATTGGATTTGAAGACAGCAACTTGGACACGAGGACTTTTGAAACCAGGTGTATAGGAGTGTTTGAAATGGAATGTGATCGCACGACAACTTGTGCACCATCATACACTCTTCAAATTCTTCGTTGAATATTGAACATTCATTGTCCGAAAAATTCCTTATGTGAAATGATTGATGCTTGGTGTACATGAAATATTTTCTCAGCAAAGATTTTTAATGTGTCTATGGTTTAACATAGAGACATTCCTCGCAGTTTTTCCAATATAATTTAACAGATGTTATCTAGTCCAGCCATCCGTGCGTAAGTTAACGTTTCCAAATACCAGGTGTAAGTTTCTTGTTAGTTTTTGACAAATTTTTACAATGAGAAATAAATCTGGCGCATTCTCAAACGAAATGTGGTTAGATGTTCGAGGTATTGAAAAACACGTCAGTCGGCAATACATTAAAGACAATACATTTTTAGTGATGGGCAAAAGTTAACTAAAATAGTTTAACTTTTTAGTTTAACTAAAAAAATTTAGCTGAAGTCGAAGTTTAACTAAAAAATAAAAATATATTTTTTAGTTCAAATTAAGTTATTGTTTAGCTAAAGAAAAAGTTGTTCTCATCACTAGACATTTTTGAAGTTTATGAGAAGGCATGTAGTTTATAATGAGGTATACTCTGAAAATGATGGGTTTATAGTTTAAAAAATTTGTAATCAACAACGGAAAGCTTTGTTACTGACCTAATTCTCTGTCTTATTGCTTAGTGTTTACTTGCAATGTGGCTTTGTGACTCTTGACAGTTTGAGATTTCGTAACACCAATCAAAACGTAAAAGCTTGCTATTTGCTAGTTATGGTGCAGTTTTAGTCAAATGTTGGAGTTATTGGGAAACATGAAAACAAAGCACGTAGTTGAAAAAATATTTAGGAGACCAAAATTAACTCCTACATTAATGATTGATCAAACAGAGAATTCTTATTAGAATTATTATCCTTAAGCAGAGAATTCAATTTCAAAAAATATAAAATACGATTGTTGACATTGATTAAACACAAACTTTGTACAGGACCCTGGCTCGATGAACCTGTTGGATCTGTGACAGCATTCAGTGGGCTAGACATCACCAGTGGTCATTTGTTGAATGTCCACTCACAACTCTCACGTAGTTACTCGGACCAACCATGAACTATTTTAGTGACCACGTCGGCATATTTGTATACAGTAACGGGGAGGGAACGATGCGGACGACTGTCAACCAGCAGGTTCGATATCGTTGTACCTTCTCTCTCGAGTTGCTGGTAGGTAGGTAGGTAGGTAGGTAAGGTAGATAGGTAGGTAGGTAAGGTTAACATTCGTTTGACATTTACACGGAGACGAAGTGAGTTATTTGGAATCGAAAGACGGATCAACAATTTTAAATTTAATTAAAACTATAAACTAAATGAAGTAAACAACGTTCAGAATCCTAAGAAAATAAAACAATACAACGCAATTTAGAAACGAACGAGCGAACCGAACAAACGTTCGCCAACTTTAGAAAAGTCTATAGATAACGCTAATCTAAATGTGAATTTGTCTCACAGACATCTTTTGTTTTTGGTACACTGGAGTTTTTCAGGGCCCAGTCTTGGTGGGTTTACTCACAACCCTTATCTTTACAAAGCAAGTTTGTATTAGTATACAACAGGAAATTTAGATTATGCAAGCCAAACAAAGTTAATAAATTTAAAAAAACTTTTATTTTTCATAATTAAAAATACGACAATTTCCCCTCAAATTCTTTTATTAAACAATTGTAAATTCAACAATGTGTCAAAATATTATAAGCAAAATTTTATGAAAAATACGGAAATATTTTATCGAAACGAATATGAAAAAACGTACAACATATATGCATGCATCGTATATACACTCCGAATCATTCATGCTTCTTTGTTTTGTTTGATTGAATAAAAGTGATTTGATATATAATATATGTATCATGTTTATTGTTGTTGTTAGTTTCGCAGTTGAAGTTATTTATTGATGTGATTTTGTTGTTGCTGCTGCTAAAATTGTTGTTAATAATTTAAAATGTTTTGTAATACAAATACATTGGAATAAGAGTGTCAGAAATACAATTATTGATGAAAATCACAGCATGTTTGGTTAGCTTCCTGTCTAATGTTTCGATTTTTCTAACGGTAGAGAAAGGCGCGCGTGTGTTGCGCATATGCGGGGATACACTCAGACTGTCATTCAAGTTTTGCGCCGTTAGAGAATAAAATAAGATTTACCACTCAATACGAATAGGCATCGACTGGAAAACATCATTGACTTGTATCATTTATCTTATTTACAGTTTATTAAATTGCTTAATTATGGTTCATGAATGGAATGAAATTAATAATAATAATTAATAACCAGCAACATAGCACACTTGATAAAAAGTAAATTAATATAACAAACAAAAAATAATAAACCAATAATAAATATTAAATTAAAAAAATATAACAGTGAGGCATCGTAGCACAATCAGAGCGTCAAAAATCACCGGGCTGACCCGTAGCCTGGGAATAGAAGATGGAGAGCTCGCGTCAGATTAGCATTAGTGGAAAACTTGATGGCCGCCAGATCGGCGCGACAGATGGCGCACGTTTTGACGCCGGCCTCAAAAGAGCGAGTCAGGCAGTCCTGAGGCGATCGAGTTAGTTCGAGGTTGAAAAAAAATAAAAAAGCTGTACGTGATAGAAGTAACTGCTTTAAATTTAATAACAATAATAACAATTTATTATTTTTGTGGTAATTATAAATTATGCCACATAATTTTAACAATTATAAATGCAAAGTATAATAACGTCGGTCAGCGATCCAAACGCAATGAAACGTGAGAGAAAGTTAATCAGTCAAAGAATAATTTTGACAATAATAAGAAATTTTATATTTATAATATTTATTCATAATTATAATATTCATTTATAATTATAATATTTATTTATAATTATAATATGGAACCTTGCAGAAATTATGCTGGCAGGCTGTGGTGATGGGCTGGTGGAGGAGGTCCTGGCAGCAAATGCAGGTGAACGTCGACTCAACTTTCTCTAGGAAACTCTAGAGAAAAAATTATTTTTTTTTTTTTATTAGTCTTTATTATTGCAGCTCTGACATACGCAGAACCACTTACAATGTTACTGATATTTCATCTATATATCTTTATTATGTTCTTCATACCTTCAACCAATGATATTATATTATATTATTATAGTAATTATTTATGAATGAATGAACGAATGAATGATGGATGGATAGATGAATGAATGAATGGATAGATGAATTAATGATGGATGAAAGATGTTAATGAATAAATGAACGAATGAAAGGAGAGAATGGTGAAATGGTTAATCAATTCATAAATAATTACAATGTTATTTTGTTAGTATTAATATTTATGAATAATATTAATTAAATTGATTAATTAATTAATGATTTGATTATTCATTTATTCAATATTCCAATAATTAAGGAAATTAACCCTTAAATCAATTAATTAATCATTTGCCAATACATTTTTGCTCTGTTAAAAACGTTAATATAAGAACTTATTCATTCATTCATTCATTCATCCATCCAATCGATCAGCAATCGATCAATCAATCAATCAATTTTTCCACCAGTCATTCATTCATTCATCTATTCATTAATTAATTCATTAATACCATCCATCAACCCACACTAATCATTCATTCATCATCATCATTCATCCATTCATTAGCATCCATCCATCCATCTATACCTTCTTGCCATTCTTGGCAGCCAGCATGACGTCCTTCCAAAGTTTATCATTGCTGACGTCATCGTTAATGGCTTCCGTCAGCTCGTCATTCGGTGAGTAACTCTGTGCGTTCTCCCTGTCTGTCACGTGATCGTCGTGATGATGATGGTGCATATGATGATGGTGATGATGAATATGATGATGAATACGATGGTGATGATGAATACGGTGATGATGATAATGATGGTACCTTTGCCGATGTTGTTAATGATAATAATGACGATGATGATAATGATTACGGTGTTGATGATGATGGTGAACAAATAAGGACTGCAAATATCATTTAACCTTTTTTAGCTTCGCAATCCAATTGGTTTCTTCTTTTCTTCTTAGTTGAGGCCATATTGACACTATCATCATCACCACCAGCATTCTCATCATCATCATCATTTCCAGCATCATCCTCATCGTCATCATCATTTCTCTTCCTCTTCTTCGTCATCTTCGTCCGTGACGAATCATCGTGCTTATTATTTCTTTTTTTAATTATCTTCTTTTCATCTTTCTTGGATTTTCCATTATCATTCTTCTTATCATCATCATCATCATCACCACCATCATCGTCATTATCATCATCTTCTCCTTTTGATCGGTTGCTGTCTTTTTTTGCCTCCTCCCAACCATCTGGGTACTACAAACAATAATAATAAGAATAATAATAATAATATGACAGTATTATAAAAAATTGAATAAATAGAAACAAATCAAACCCATCCACTCAACCGGCCAGCCAACCAACCAACCTGCATAACGAGACCCAGCACTTTCGACCTGTCGGCCCCCTTCTGAGTCCAGGGTGCGGGGTCAGGGTCGTCCCTCCTCAACAAATACTTCCACACTAGGAAACCGGATTTGCCCTTTTCTGGCCAGTACTTCACAACCTGAAAAATTAGCACCATCAAATTTCGTTGTCGCTGAAATATTATTTCATCATCATTATCAGCAGCAGCACTATCACCACCATCAACATTACATTAAACATCATCGTCAACAACAACGTCATCACCCCAATACCTTGTAGACACCGTCGTATCTGTTGCCATCTTCAGGTGCGTATTGAGAGTGCTTCCGACCCTTGCAGCTCCTAACCACCCTCACTGGTTTTCCTGATTTGAGAGAGGGAGAGAAAAGTTAAATCACGTAATAAGGTGATAATCTTAAAACGTGATGATGATGATGAGTATAGAAACTATTTCAGTCACCATAATAGTCATCATCATCATCATCATCATCATCATCATCACCTGACTTCCAATTTTTAGCCTCAGCTCCATCTTTATTATTGATGGGAGCATTACAGTTTCTAGCAAGAGCCCTGAACAAAATAATCAACAATAATAATAATAATTATAGCCAGTAACAACAAATAAACCATAGTAAAAAAAACCTACTAGTATAATGTAAGAAAAAACACAACCAACATCATCATCATCACCATCAACTACACAAGCATCATCATCACCACCATCTTAATCCAAATAAATCAAATTATTCATTAAATCAAATCAGACAGGAGCAAATCGTACAAGAAATGATCAGGAGACCAAGATAATAATAAATTTATTTCTTGTACTGGCCGCCAGTATGCAAATTTGAAGTTATTTAAAGGGATTTAAGTCAAACTTTAAAACAGAAAATTAAATTAAGATTCTTTTTCAAAACCAAACTTATATTATACTACATCATCATCATCCTCATCATGCACATCCCTAATACACTAACTTGTTCATTCTAGTTAGGACCTGGTCACATGACTGGCCGGCCGTCCTTTTGTTTCCAGACAGATCCCTGCCTCCACTGCCCGTGTAAGTGAACTCGTTCCCCTCGTCCTGTTTGCAAAGTTATTGTGATCATCATATTAATATTACTGTCAAGTTATAATAATTATTGTCATTATTATTGTTAAAGAAATAAACTTAAATAAGTAAGAGAACCATCTGACCAGATCATCTTCGTACCCCCCAGCGAGGACGATCGAGTACGCCCCCTCCCCCTCCCTCCCGTGGATGCCAGCCACGTGGGGCCTGTGGATCCCTGATTCACTAACCTTCAGCAAGTTAGGGAAATTAGGCAGGAAGGTGAAACAATGTAAGCGCAAAACAAACTGCCCACAAAACAACAATTTTTAGAATATTTAATTTCATCTTAGAAAATAAATTTTTCATTTTATTGACTGGCAAGCACATCCCTGTTTACTAACTTGGACCCGAAACTTCCAGAGACTACCAACTTCGACTCCGGGAACTGGCCCAAAATGATTTGAAGGGACGATCGTGCACATCTTCGATCTACCTTGGCAGGCCATACCCTAACCAAAAAAATTACAATAAGTATTTATTTATACAGCACCTTACTTGCTCAACTTCTTAAGCAACTAAAGACATCGACCTTAATATTTGAAAACATTATTTTGTATCTTTTGGACTCGGCCATTCAATCGTGCGAATAAGTGCTTGGGCAAATAGGATGCAAAATAAAATAAAAATAACGCAGAGGTCGCCATTCTGATTGTGGTCGGTAGCACTAACTTTTCCCCAATCCCTATTGGAGGTGGATTGTGAGGAGGCCATCTTTGTTTTCTTACTGCTTTCTTTCAATTTTTCGCCAGCTCGAACGACTTGAGACGTGTCGAGTTTGCAACCAGGGCAGTACCTTCGTGGGGACGATAAAAAAATATAAAAATAAAAAATAGGACTACGCTGATGATGTCTCTTTTTTTCACATCTTACTGAATGTTAGCTAGATCTCTATCATCATCATCCTTATCATCATTCATCTCCATCATCCCACTACTATCACCAACAACCTCATCCGCCATCACCATGATGACATCAGGATGATCAATCATCCATCATTTCATTTATAGCTTCTTTAATAAGTCATCACCACCTTCCTCATTCCACCCCCAACCAACCATTCATCATCATCAGGAATGGCCATCAGGGGTGGTTTCAGGCAGAAGAGGTGGTAGGCGGAGTCACACTCGTCACACATCAGCTGCTTCTCGGGTTCCTCCTTTCCTCCACAGATGCAGCACGAGCAGTGCTTGCATTTTCTGGCCGGATCATCTTTACAGTGGTCACATTCTGGCTTCACTTGTCCTAAGGATATTGGGAGTGTTGATTGTGATCTAGGGATGGGATTGAGATTTAAGGTTTGAGATTGTGATAAGGAATGTTGAATCAATCAATTAACCAATCAGTTATTCACCTAACTAATTATTCAATTAATCAATCAGCAAGTCAATAAAATATCCATCAATCAACTAACTATTTGGTATATTAGCAGCTTGTTCGCCATCAATCATAGAGTTTCTCTGAGAGCCTGGAGATTCAATCATGAAAATTTCATTTACAAAAGGCAGTTTACAATTCTCCATTGGTACGAGGTCCTTCCTGATTGGTCAAAATGTTTTTAAAGTCAATTTAAATATATAAAAGCTTCTCCCTGATTGGTTAGCTAATTATAATCAGAATTTTAAAAAAGTGATCAACATTTATACCCAATGTAAACAGTGGCATATACATCTTTTGAAGATTTAGTGTCTTTGATTTTAGTGATGACGGCATCATACCAATACCCTCTGCTGGCAGGCTCGTCGTAATTGTAATTGACCATGACCTTTTCGTTGATTTTCAGGTTGGTTAGAGAAATTTTTCTGTAGGAACGAGGTCGGAGATCTCTGCTTGCAACCATCGTCAAGTCCCTGCTATCGTCATCGTCTCTGGAGGAAAAATGTGAGAACATGAATACAATAATCACAATAAAATAATCTTAATTAAAAAATCATAAATTGAAACCATAATTATTTTAACGTTCGAATGAATTAATGATAAAATGAAAGAAATAGAGAAAAAATTATGCCTACCCCGTAAATTTGACATGATATTCATAGCCACCATCATCATCATCATTGCAATGTCTACTATCATTATCATAATTTTTTTTGCTGTCATCATCATCATCATCACCACCATTAGATCCATGCTTTTCATTTTTCTTCCTCATTTCTCCTTCTTTCATTCCACTAATTTTGCTTTCTTCAGTATTTAGATCAATGTTTTTGATATTATTATTAACAACATTAATATTATTTTTATTATTATTTTTGCAAGCCCTGGAGACGACCTTGACAATGCCCCCTTCAAACCAGGCACCTAATGTCCCATCCCTAACGTCCAATACATCCCCAACCTAATTAGGAGTATAAAATACTTTTAATGATGTTAATAATGAATTATTATTTATAGTCATTCATTGTGGATAACAAAATAAAATTATTAATAATTAAACTTCAGACAATATTATAAAAAAAACAAACTAAAACCTTATAGATATTTTTATTGATGTTGTTTTCAACTGTGAGCTGTTCCTTACTAGATCCGGCTTCATCATTATCCTCACTTGTTATTATTTTGCCATTTTCAACATTATTATTTTCATTATTATTATATTCAATAACATTATCGTTGACCTCATCAGAATTTGATTTGGAATCTTTATCTTCGATTATTATTGGCCTAACGAGAATCAGGACAACCTCATTTAGGGCAATGTTGTAGTCAAACAATGTATGGCCGTCGACCATCTGGCGAGCGAAAAATAATTTTTTAAATTTAACGATTAAAATTAAATTAGAGCGTTAGGCGTGGCAATTTTTGGGTTTTACTTTCTTTGCAGTTTTGGTAAAACCATTTTTACTAGAATCGCTATTAGAATTACACGAGTTACGCAATGAAAAATTTAAAAAAATCACGCAACTAACCATCTTACCGCGGCAAAAAAGTTTTTGCCTGTCAACTGGGGCGTCAAAATGTTTCACTAACTTTTCACGCAACTGTTCGATTTTCGTTAACTTCGACAATCCATCTATACGGACCAACTTCCTACCGTCCATACTACGGACTTGGATCCACATTTTTTTGCAATTTTTATTTATTAAATAAAATACTTTAATAATTTAAGATCCAGATTCATGAACTCTATAAAAAAAACTGAAAAGGTAAATAAAGGAATGTTTATATTTGAAGTTTCGCGGCGTCGACGAATCGATCATTTGATGAATGTTGCTGAGGGAAGCACGATGTTAAGGAGATGGCGGTAATTTTATTATTGTTCAGAACTCCTTTATTCTAAATATATATATATAAATATACATATATAAATATATACATATATATATTAACATGGAATCGTATGTTTGTTTTATTAAGGCTATCTGCATGGATATGGATATATATATAATAGGATTTTTTAAAAATATATAAACTATGAAATAATATTATAACAAAGAGTAAAATTCAAATGTAGAGAATCTATTATCGATTTTTTAAATCCTTTCAAAGATAACGGTTTATTTTGCCAGGGCCGGTGCTAACGTATCTAAGGCTAGGTGCAAAAAAAGTGTGCGGGATTGTACTGTTAAAAAAAATTTTTGGAAAATATATGATTAAATAAATATAAGTATAAATTTATTGTCTTTGCTGATTTCATACAAAACAGCAAAAACAACTAATTGACAAAAATAATATCCAATCCTATTAGCCGTTCTTGAGACACTAGATATTAATTTTATACTTTTGATTTTAAGACTGACAATTTCGAACAGACTGCAATCGGTTCAAAATTGGGCTACAAGGTTGGTTTCAGGTGGCCTTAAATAGGATCACATTAAGCAAATTCTTTTTGTTCTTCAATCAATCAATCAATCAATCCAATCAATCAATCAATCAATCAATCAATCAATCAATCAATCAATCAATCAATCAATCAATCAATCAATCAATCAATCAATCAATCAATCAATCAATCAATCAATCAATCAATCAATCAATCAATCAATCAATCAACCAATCAATCAATCAATCAATCAATCAGCTTGTAAAGCGCTATTTCCGCGATGTTCAACGGCGCTTCTCAATGAATTTTGAAAACAGATGAGTCTTGAGATCCGCTCTGAACTTCGTAAGTGATGGAAAAGTAGTCTGAGAAGTAGGTAGAGAGTTCCAGAGAAAAGGGCCAGAAAAAGCAAAAACAGATTTGGCAAAAGAGTGTTTAACACGAGTTAAGAAGAAGCAAGAACAAGAAGACGATTGTAAACTGGGGCTTTTAGGTTCAATTAATATATCTGATAAGTCAATCAATCAATCAATCAATGTCCTTTGTCCATCGAGGGATCGTCGAGGCCGATGGTGCATCTAAGCATGCTTTTTACTTATAATTTTTCCTTTTTTCTTTCCAAAAACCTTTTCTATCTTTGGCCAGTTTTATTGAATTCTGAATACCAACACCAGTCCATTCAATAATGTCATCTATCCATTTCTATGCAGGTCTACCAATTTTTTTTCCAATCTCTTTTCCTCATTAGTACCATCTTAATCAATCTGATAAGTACTTAGGAAATAATTTAGATTGAGACTTATACACAAACGTGCAAATTTTAAAAATTATTCGATATTTTATAGGTAGCCAGTGCAAGAGAACAAGATATGGAGATATATGAGAAAAGAAAGGGGCACGAGCAACTAGACGAGCAGCAGAGTTAAAAGCTTTACTTAAAGGATAGAGTATAGAATCAAGAAGACCATAGTAGAGCGAGTTACAATAATCAATCCTAAGTAAGACTAACGAAGTAACAAGAAGGAGAAGAGTAGGATCATCAAGAAAAGGCAAAAATTTTTTTGTTCTACGTAGACGAAAGTGAGAGCTTTTAACAACACTATTAATCTGAGAAGAATAAACATAGTAGAATGAAAGATAAAACCTAGACTACGAAACTTGTGAGAGACATCAAGAGTTTTAGAATCAGGTAAGATAATAGGAAGAATAGTAATAGAGTGTTTAGATTTATTAAAGCAAATTAATTCAAACTTAGAAGGATTTAGTTTAAGACACATAGAGTCAGATCAAGCGATAATTGAAGAAAGACATAGAGATAGATTATGAAGAACACTATTGAGATTAGATGAAGGAAAAGAAGTATAAATGTAAGAATCATCAGCATATAGTTGACTAGAGAAAGAAAAGTTAGTAATAATACGAGGTAGTTCAGAGGTATAGAGTATAAATAGAAGAGGGCCAAGGATAGAACCCTGAGGTACTCCGAAAGTAAGAGTAGAGGAGTTAGAAGTAGAATTATTTAGAACAACAGAAGAAAAACGATTACAGAGATAAGAAGAAAACCAAGATAGACAAGAATCAGTAATATTAAAAGAAAGATGTAGCAGCCTCAGAGAATGTATGATCAACAGTATCAAAAGCCGAAGAAAAGTCAAGAGCACTGGCTTCCGGTTCATCAGAGTTATTTTCAAGATATGCTTAACAGTTTTTTAACGTATTAAGGAAGTTGCCCCTAAATATTTAACTGACAGAGTTATTTTTAGGACAATGCCACTGATGAGTCAAACATTGCGCTTTGACAATTCAGGTTTACTGTTTATATCTGACACAAACTTGGCTTTTGATCAAAGGAATTTCTCCGCAATAAGTCTGGAATGATTTGCCTAAAGACCTTCGTAATCCTGCGTTGTCTGTTATTCAATTTTGTTAAAAGTTAAAACACAATCTGTTTGTCCAAGCTTACTCGTGCTAATGTCTTTTTCTCTCTATTCGTTGCATTGCTTTAGTAAAAGGCTTCGCAATGTACTGCAATAATCGTTAGCGCCTGTGAGATATTTTTAAAGGGAGCTTACAAACACACCAATAATAATAAAATAATAATAATAAAAATCATAATAATTTTTTATTATCTTCAATTAAAAAAAACTGCAGTGGCAAACGTAACAGGTAATTTGAGTAATATTCGAATAGTGATATATACGTTTAGATAGCTAAATATAACTTTGTTGTTTGAAGATAATTTAATATAGTTAAAAGCGGTATCTGCTCGTTATCTGAAATTACCATAATTAAAAATTTCAGTTCATCATTCTTCAAACATTTCCAATTTGTCAATATCAGAATTGGAATTTGCTGTTGATAAGCTAGGATATAAGTTGTGAAGATCTTTAATTTTTTAATTCGTTCATAAATCTAAATTTATCATTTAATTTTTATATAATTTGAATCTTTCTTTAAATGATTCTCTAGCTCTATCAACAATTAAGATTAAAAAACGCTATCGTTTTGCTACGAATGACCAGTAAACGAGCGATTGAAATGAGGAAAGACTTGTTGATATGTTTTGCCGATTACTCCAAAGCTTTTGATAGCGTCATACACGTGGAGCTTTTATAAATTTTTACATTGATGGAAAAGACACGAGAGTTAACAAAACATTTATTGGGACGATGAAAGTTGGTAACAAGATGACTAGTTTTGTCAAAATAAAGAAAGGTGTTAGGCAAGGCTGTGTATTCTCTCCAGATTTGTACAATCTCTATAGTACAATCTCTACCTTGAATACCTTTTTGAGGCGTGAATATAAACAATGTAAGATATGCTGATGATAGAGTTTTTATAATGGATTTCATGAAAAAACTGCAAACAATTGTTTCCAAAATTGTTTTTGAAAATAAAAGAAAGGCTTGCAAACTAACATCAACACACCAAAGTGCAAAGTTACCAATAAAAGTAAAACCGCCCCGACCTGTCCGTGTCCATATTCATCAATGGTAAACAGATAAAACAAGTTAAAAGCTTCAATTATCATGGAAGTCTGATTACCTCAGGTTGTAAATATGATGTGAATATCAAATGAAAGGTAGCTATGGCAAAGGATACATATTCTAAAATGAAAAACATCCTCACTAACAGTAAAATCAGAATATCGACAAATATAAAACTGTTAGAGTTACATTTTTCCTGTGTAACTTACAGCTCTGAGTCTAAAAAATGGAAAAAAAAGATTAATGCTGCTGAGATGTGGTTTTCGAGAAGAATAATGAAAATTAGTTGAACCTCTCATACATTCAATAAAAATGTATTAAAACAGTCCGGGCATGAAAAGAAGAAATTATTAAAAATAATCCAACGGGGCAATTAAAGATTTTGTTCACATCATGCGAAATGAAGGGACAAAAATTTAACAACTATTGGAAATATTGAGGGGAGGAGAGATCGCGGTTTACAACAAATTGCATTTGTGAAGTTCTTGTGTCAATTGGTAAATGCCATCACATGTCCACTACTACAAAGTGTTAAAGAACGGATTTTGTGGAGGTAGATGGTCGCCAACATCCTGAAAAGATAAGACACAAAATAAAAAAAAAGAAGATTAACAATTATTAAGAAATATTCCAATCATTTTCCAAGATTTTTTCTGTATCCTCATAGTCAAGAAACTTTTTGACTTTTCTTGTACGTCGTTCATTACACTGATTTGCAATATCGTTTTCTTCTGCGATTTCAGTACTTTCTTTGTCACCATTGGTTCGAAAAACGGTTAGCTAATGTTTGTCAAGCAATGTAAAAGCGGCATCTATATTGCATCTTTATCTTGCAATACTTTTGATTCTCTATTAACTTTGACAAGCAATTAATACCGTGTAATAGCAAATAAGATAAAAAGAAATGACTCAATTTTTTCAGTAATGAATTGGCCTCACTCTTACTTTTGGCATCTTTTGGTTTAATTGGGATTTCACGAAACACTATTATAAATTCTCGGATTTTAAAAAATTACCGCTTTAATACTTTCCACTCTGTAATCCCAACTCGTAGTGGTTTTGGAGTAAATGACAAACATTATCTGGCTTGACTATGTAGGTAATACCAATAATTACACTGGGCAACAACAAAAAATTTTGTTTGTATCTTTAACTTCTTTAATCAAATTATACTAATTTTGGGGTGAAAAAAACGAAAACGCAAACGAAGATTTTTTTTATTAGCTCAAGTTTCAGAAAATTTTTGTTTTCGTTTATTCGCAATATGACATATAATTTACTTATTTTAATAATATTTAAAGTGCATTTAGTTTTTTAATAAAAATTACATTCTAATAGTTTTGAACAATGAAAGCTTATAAATATAAAGATCATTATGGAATATCTTCACGCGATCTTTATGCGAGCTACGTAGCATCCCTACATATAAAACAACAGTAATCTGCAAGCATAGCTTCATTCACTGATATCTTGTTTCCATTACAGAAATATCTTGGTGGAACCTTTTTCTATGTTCATCACTAACAGCCCCCAACTAGGGGGAAAAGTCTAAATTTGAGTGGAGGAAGTGAATCCTCAAGGTCATGTTACATTCAAGTTTTTGCAGAAGTACTGTTACCAATTGGATGTAGTTATCATCTCTTCTGTTGCCTAAAAATCCAAAAATCACACCCTTGAGAAATTCCAAAATTTTTTTTTGTTGCACCTTCAAAACTTTATCAAATGCAGGTTTGTTCACAAGTTCACGTATCTGTGGTTCAACAAAAATATCCTCTTTAACTTTTGCATCACTTAGTTTTGGAAATTTGTTTCTTAAATACTTAAAAGCCTGTCTTTCTTCGTTCACACCTTTAACAAAATTTTTTATTAAACCCAGCTTAATGTGTAAGGATGGAAGAAGTACATTTTTTGGATTTACGAGTGATTTAGCAAAACATTTTTTTAATTTTTGTTGAGGTTTCTTGCAGGCCAGTCCTTTTTTTGTGTTATGTGAAATTTTGTCTATAATGTCTCACATTCACAAGAAGCAGCAGTATTTGGAATAGACTAATTGCATTCCTAAAAGTATGGCAATAACTTTTAGGTCACCACAAATTTTCCATTTGTATTTGTTTTAATTGATTGAGTTAAAAAGAGTTTTCATATTTAGATAAGTTTCTTTCATGTGAGCTGTATGACCAATAAAAACAGAAGGAAGATGATTTCCATTGTGCAGTAATACAGCTTTCAAGATTAGCTTAGATGAATCGAATGGATTCATTTAAGCTTAACTTAGATGAATCCATTCAGTTGGATCAGAGTTCAAATTGAGACAATACATTAATCCATAGATATCAACGCAAACAACAAGGTTATTTTTCTTTTCAAAAAACGAATAAGATTTTGTTGCCGTTTTCTGAAATAGAAAATTTTGACATCTGATTGGAAAAGATTCTACTGTTTTAATCTAGAACCTAAAAGTTCTGTCTTTTCCTGTGACAAGTCAAGATCTCGAACAGGGTCACTTAATTTTGCTTGACTCAATCTGTGTGGTGCATCATCTATTGACACAAAATCAGAATCATTTAATGTAGAAAGCTGGCTTTCTTTTCCTTCTTCTGTTTCATTTGTGTCTTCGTTTTCTGCTTATAATTCATAACTGCATGATGAATTAGGAACTGGTAAACCGTCTGAATGTAGAATAGGTCAAATGGCTGATGGAAGATTCGGATTGTTAACTGTTCCTAATTTTTTCATAGACAAACTTGCCTTAACGGGTCAAGCAAAAATAGCAGTCATCTGCATGGTTTGTAGGTTCCTTCCATACCATAGGAACAGTAAAAGCCAAAGATCTTGTTTTATTTTTTCAACAGTTCTCGCAGTGTAACCGAACAAGTGTTTATCTTAGTAATGCTGGTAGGCAGTCTTCAGAATAGGTGTCATAGTTCTTTTTCGTGATGAGAAGGTGATTTCACCACAAACGTAACAAAAATTGTCCACGGAGCTTACACACTCCATTGGCATGCTAATTTTTCAAATTTTACAACAATGAATGAAAAATAATCAAAGAGTAGATCAGGTAAGAAACATAAACAAAGCATTATGGATAGCCAAGAGGCAAAATGAAAAAAAAATAAAAAAAATTCCAAATTATCAAAATATTTATTCGACAGATGTTTTTACTATTTTTTATTTTATTTGAACAAAGCACGGGCAATTGCCCATTGCCGAATTTACAAAGAAAAAATACATTTTAAACAACAATATAAAAAAATAATTCTACTAAAACTTATTAAAAAAACAAAAAAAAATGTGTCCAGATACCTTAAAATAAAAAAATATACACATATACCCACCCACATATTTTGTTATGATTTCAAAATATCAAACACAATGGGGCAATTCTATAAATTAAATATTAACATTTGCTCACAAAATAAATGAGCGTACTAAATATTGCACCAATAACGTATTCATCCATCATTCATCATTCACACCCATCCATAAGCATTCACGTCAAATCATACTGATAGTCTAAAAGTATCAATTCAATCCATTCATACCTATCAATTCAAACACAAAATTTAGCGTAACCCCAAAACAAATCCAAACGAGATTTAAAAACACACATATTTGGAGAGTCAATCAAGGATTGTGGAAGTCTATTCCAGTCTGCGACAACTTCATTGTTAAAAAATATTTTCTGACATCTTGGTGGGAAAGACCTGTAAAGTAACTTTTTTTGATGCCCTCTTGTTCTTTCGTCACAACTGAGCAACAGAATTAAATGATCAGCATCAGGATAGGTCACCAACATTTTATATAAAAAATTAAGTCAGCTCTTCTTTTTTGATATTTCAAAGAGTGCAAGTTCATTTTTTTTAATCTGTCACAACACTCTAAACCAAAACAAGAACGGATGGATCTAGTGGCTCTTTTCTAGTGGCTCTCTATCATAGCAAAAAAATATCAGCAAATAAAAGCAAAAAATTAAACTTGCCTCATACGCTTGACAATGCGTTTTATTTAAAACGTTTTTGAAATGAACTTCCCAACTTAAATGAAACAGTTGACAATATTTACTTGGATCATTACCTTTATTGGATATGTAGTCGAATGCCTTGCAAGTGATGTTATTATTTGCTAGAGAAACATAATGAGAACATTCGGTGGAACACTCCTGTAACAATCGTATGTTATTTATTACTTTGTTAGGTTGTTAGGTAAACAAAACACATAAGGTTGTTTGGCTCTCCTATCATTCCATATTTTTTGGCAACTGCTGATGCTAACGAGTTGGTCGAAAACCGAATTAACAACGTAACAATTGTTAAAAGCCACATTAAAAAAAACAAGTTAACAAATTATAGATTTTATTTGATTTCACGAGAACAAGTCGTAAAAGTTACAAAATTTTTTAAAACAAAGTGTAGCCGACCCTGGGCACGATAGTTTATTCCTAAATGTTTTTTGTCAAGTGGTCAAAATTGGTCCTTTTTTCAAACATTTAACGGCAAAACCGTCAAAATACAAATTATATTTTTAAATTCAAAAGCTGCTGTTAAAATTCTAAAAATGTTTTCCTTCTTTGTCAATTTTTTGTATAACAATGGATTTTTCAACCGACCATCAAATGTCACATAAAAAATTGTTCCCACCTCACGTTTAATTGTTTTTCTTTGTTTGAAAAAATCGTTGGAACGCATAAATGCTCGCATAATTGAAATTAATTTCATGAATTTTGTGCTAATAAATGATAATTGTTGTTATTATTACTATTATTAATATAAACATTACTAGTATTAATAATAAACTCAAAATAACAAGAATTATAGTGGTTCAATAGATATATGTTTGAGAACCACTGGATGGATTGATTTTAACTAATATTATGGATTTAAAATCTCAATCTTTTAAGTCTGACTGAACTTCTGCGTTGTAAAAGCAGTTTTTTGTCTAGCTTATTCCAATGTTCAATAACCATCGAGCTAAAAATCTTCTTTTTATTGTTTCTACCCTTTTTTTGAAAAGCTTGTACTAGTGCCCTCTTGTATTTCTACTTTCGGTAAATTGGAAAAATAGGGACGAATCTATCTCATCTTTACCTGTTGTGATTTTGTACCTTTGAATAAGTCCTACGTTTATCCAAAATTGTCAATTCACATTTCTTCAATCTTTCCTCATATGAAAGTCTTTCACAAGTGTTAATCATCCGGGTTGTCCGTTTTAGAACACTTTCCAAATCTTTTGTGTTTTTTGTCAGTTGCAGTATTTCAATTTAGGTCGCACTAACGTTTTAAATAGATTTAACATTATTGATTTACCTCTGCTAACAATCGTCCTTTTTATCATGCCAAGCGTTTTGTTTGCTTTTTTGCTGCTTCTATGCATTGCCTGGTAGGTTCCCCACTTTTGTCTACAATTATTTTAAGATCTCTTTTTTCCGATGAGACTGTATCCATATTTCAATATATTTTGCTTGTTTTTTGTCCCCATGTGAATGATGGAGCATTTTTCTTTTGCCGGTCTTTCGCACATTGGTGAAGTTTTTTTTAGATTAGTTTGCAGTTTTATGTTAAATTACATTTGCCGGTCTTTCGCACATTGGTGAAGTTTTTTTTTAGATTAGTTCGCAGTTTTTCTACATTCTCATCCTGCACAGAGCTTGGTATCATACGCAAATTTGACTATCTTAAAATAAATCCCACTATCAATATTATTGATGAAAATAATGAACAACAGCACTGAGTCCTGAGGTACACCGCTTGTAACATCCATCAAGTTCAAATAGCTTCGAATAGTAGAAGTAGTAAAATCAACAAATCAACAACAGGACACAGCTTGTTTTTTCTTTTTTTAATAAAGCTTTGCTGCAATTACATCATTGCGCTCATTATGTCCAGCAAGGTGGACAATGCGTAAAACAATTCGCCAGTTAAAACTATCTAATTAATTATAAACTGTAATATTATATTTTAACAAAATATCTGTAACTTATTATTTATCAAAAATTATTTTTGCGTTATATTTAAAGCAAAAAACAAAGCCGGTCAGTATCTATATAAAAGAAAGCCGCAAAATGTCCAAAAACATTCCTAACAATCCTTCAACTTCATCTATTGTTCCAAAATCTTCAAACTCAATTTGAATTAATTTTGATCATTTACCGATATCAACAATCATAAGGATCTCATCGTTTTAGACATTACATGCTCATTGTTAACCTTGCTTTCTCTTGTCGGTACATATTACTTTATCTAATTTCGATTTCCAAGATATATTGATAGGTAATTTTTTACTGGGCTGTATCGTGTGTGCTCTGTCAACATTAACTTCTAACAGTCTAGCGGGTAATAAATATTTATGCTGACTTCATTTTCGAACATCTCCAGACATAAACCAACTCAACGATAGATATTTGAATATTCGTGAATAAAACGTTACCACGGATTTTAAATTAGGATGCGCTAATAAACAAAAGAATTTAGATAAATTTCCACTTCTATTTGAAAAGCATTTATAATAATAATAATAAAATGATTAAATTTTACCGATAACCAATTGTCCTCCTATTTGGATGTTTTTTTCGAGGCATAGGAGCATTGCCAGTAAGGAGTTTGAGAATATCCAAAAAAAAAACTCAGAGCCGCCCAAGGGACATTTGTTAAGCTACATTTATAATTGTAAATACAAACCGTTGAAATAAACGTAAATTTTAGTTTTAAATCTTGCGTTAAATTAAGGTTTAAACAAGCATACAAAGACCTTAAAATGAAATATAAATAAAATATTAAAATATTTTTAGTTTTATTTTTTTAATTTATTTATATCAGCACAGCACAAGTCCTCAGCTTTGTCATAAAATTTTTTATGAAGTTTTAATCACGAGTCCAAATATAAGGGCTGTTTGCAATTAAATTAAAAGATAATTAGGGTTAGTTTAATAATAATTTCAATTATTTCATAATTATTTCTTTAATTTTAATTAGTTTGATATGTTACGTGACAATATTTTTAGTTTTATTTTTTTAATTCATTTATTTCAGCACAGCACAAGTCCTCAGCTTTGTCTAACAATTACATTCTGAACTTTAAAGTAAAATGTTCTTATAATTAACAAAAATTATTTGTCAGGAAATTTTTTATTAAGTTTTAATCACGAGTCCTAATATAAGGGCTGTTTGCAATTAAATTAAAAGATAATTAGGGTTAGTTTAATAATAATTTCAATTATTTCATAATTGTTTCATTAATTTCAATTAGTTTCATATGTTAAGGTCTTTATTGCATCTAACAGTACTGACAAATTACTGCTTTTACATCAACAGTTCAGGGAGTCTTCTTGTTGCCAGTAAGGTTTTCCTCAGATGCACCTCTTTGAAACAACTTGCCCTTTTCTGTCAGAGAACAACCAGCACTTCTATTTGAAAAGCATTTATTGCAACTTTTACAAGGCTAGTGCTTTCATCGTTTAAAAAAGTAACAGAAGAAACGAGTATTAAATATTTATGCTGATTTCATTTTCGAACATCCCTAAACATAAACCAACTCAACGATAGATATTTGAACATCGTTACTACGGATTTTAAATTAGGATGCCTTTATAAAAAATAATTTTAAATAAATTTATTGCACCAAAAGATAAAATTTCAAACATTTCCGATAAAAACAGGGCGGGCCAATATTTCTCTAGGCAGCATTTCATCCATTTGTTTGGTGGCAGCAGTTGTTTTTAGATAGATATCCATAGTGAGACGTCCACCTACATTCGACTTTTTCACCACGTCTATTTCTCTCGTCACATAAATCCAAAATTCATTTCGGCACAGCGGACATTTAAGATGCCGACAGTTGTCTTGTGAGTCATCTAACGAAGTAAAGCAGGAACTATGCAGGGAATGTTGACACGGAAATTGGAGCAAGAAGGAGCCTTCCTGAAAATTCTCCAGACAGATTGGGCAGGTTTCGTTCAAAAACCATCCTTTAACATACGGCAATATGTACTTTCTGATGTTGGCAGAGGCAATGTAGTAGACGTCAGTGTGGATGATGTTTCCTTCAAAAAAATTATTTCTGTAAGGTTCTATCTTAGTGGAACTTTCTTTTGGTAGACTGTTGTAAAACGTGTCTTGTAGTGTTTTCATCATTTCGTATTGTTTCTGGAGCGGCAGTTCTTTAAAATTACGCACCCACTTTTTTTTCTCTATAATTCCCACTTTAGATGCCATGTCTGTGGCGAAATCGAACATGTCCTCGCTGCTCAGCTGATGATCGCTGACGTTTTCTCGCAAAGTTTTCACGCTCAAACGTAATCGTTCAAAGCGTAACTTGTCTAAAAACATTTTCGTGTAATCCAATGTGATGTAAGCAACCTGAGCTCGCGTGTGGTCGTCAGCATCGTTCAGTTTAATTTTCAGTTCAGCCATGTGATAGGAGATAAAATTTCGAATGGGCAACTACAACAAAACTTTATGGTATATTGATGCACTGTCTCTTTTATATATGGTGCCCCATAAACCAACAAATTTTTATTCATAGCAACTAATAAAAATTGTGCTCCATAGAATAATAAATCAAAGTTAGTAAATATTAATAAAGTTTTATTTATAGCAACTAATAAAAATATTGCTCCATAGAATAATAAGTCAAAGTTAGTAAATATTAAACAAACACTTGCACACACGTTAATTTTCACACAATTATTATAATTGTCTCGTATTGCGCAATTCTCGTTTCTGGGTCGTGACAATATTTTTAGTTTTATTTTTTTAATTTATTTATTTCAGCACAGCACAAGTCCTCAGCTTTGTCTAACAATTACATTCTGAACTTTAAAGTAAAATGTTCTTATAATTAACAAAAATTATTTGTCAGGAAATTTTTTATTAAGTTTTAATCACGAGTCCTAATATAAGGGCTGTTTGCAATTAAATTAAAAGATAATTAGGGTTAGTTTAATAATAATTTCAATTATTTCATAATTGTTTCATTAATTTCAATTAGTTTCATATGTTAAGGTTTTTATTGCATCTAACAGTACTGACAAATTACTGCTTTTACATCAACAGTTCAGGGAGTCTTCTTGTTGCCAGTAAGGTTTTCCTCAGATGCACCTCTTTGAAACAACTTGCCTTTTTCTGTCAGAGAACAACCAGCACTTCTATTTGAAAAGCATTTATTGCAACTTTTACAAGGCTAGTGCTTTCATCGTTTAAAGAAGTAACAGAAGAAACGGGTATTAAATATTTATGCTGATTTCATTTTCGAACATCCCTAAACATAAACCAACTCAACTACGGATTTTAAATTAAAATGCGCTTATAAAATATATTTTTAAATAAATTTATTGCACCAATAGATCAAATTTCAAATATTTCCGAAAAAAACAGAGCAGGCCAATATTTCTCTAGGCATCACTTTTTCCACTTCTATTTGAAAAGCATTTATAATAATAATAATAATAAAATAATAAAAATTCACTGATAACAGAGCCGCCCAAGGGACATTCGTCAAGCTACAAAGACTTTAAAATGAAATATAAAATAATAGCAAAAATGCCTTTGTTATTCCTTATACAACCGAAGCAAAGTTTTTTTTATAACGTTTTGAAAGTTTTTTAAATAATTTATTTGATTTAAATAAGAGAATGGATTTGTGTACTGTCATTCGTTGATTATGGAGATTTTAAAATGCATCGTAAATTGTGTCGTAAAATCATTTAATTATGAAAAAAGATTAATTTAAAGCTATTTTACAAAATTGTAATTTAATTCATGATAATTATTTTAAAATTTAATTTCACTTTTAAAGTTTTACATCTTTCCATCAATGTCTGTTTAGTTTCTATGCATGTAATAAGTGACAAAAAAGTGAGTGGAGCTTAACGACTTATTCATCATGATTACCCTATATAATTATAAATACAAAACGTTGAAATAAACTTAAATTTTAGTTTTAAATTTTGCGTTAAATTAAGGTTTAAACAAGTATACAACGATAAAGGTTACTCTCTTATGAATACGCTTGAAATATACGCAACTTACATATTGCACATAATGGGCCGGGATCTCTTTGTATTCGAACCCAGTCACTGCAGCAGCAAGACCAGACGCCTTCTATCATTGAGCCATCACACGTAAATACCTAACTCCATCCATTCAAGCGTTTTCTATGACCCTGAGAAAAGTTGTTTTTAATATTTATTAATCTAACGAAGATGCTTACTTCGAAAAGAGCTCATCTGTCACGTACCTTAACTTGAGATTTCCGGCCAATATAGCGATGCGACAGAATGATTTATAGGTATAACGCATTTTCCACAACGCACAGCAAGTACAACCGATTTTGAAAGTTCATTTGCTGCTTAAATTTGCTAATTTATTTACATTATAGATATGAAATGATGATGATGATAATTATTGTAAGAAAGTAGTGAGTCACGATGTGACCGAATGATGTATAGGTATGGTATAATAACATTTTCATATATATATCTTATATATATATATATATATATATCTTATATATATATATATATATATATATATATATATTTTCAATTCATTTTCAAAGTTTTATTCATAATCAACAACATATCAAATAAGTGAATAAAAGTTATGAAGTTGAATATGCGGAGACCGAATAAGACTGTTAGTCTTGTGGTAAAAACAGATGAAGTTAAGTGGTAAATTTTTTTTGCTAGGAAGAAGGGTTTAGTATGGGAATTGGGTTTGAGGTTAAAAATTAAACGTATTGATTTTTTTGAGAGAGTATTAGGTTATTCAGGTGGCTTTTTGGACTATTTCCCCATAGTGTGATGCAGTAGGTTAGATAAGGGTAGATGAATGTGTAATAAAGCGTGCGAAGAGCAAAAAGAGAGAGTTTATATTTGATTTTGTAGAAGATGCCTGTGAGTTTGTTGATTTTGTCTGAGGTAGTTTGTAGGTGAGAATTCCATGAAAGATTTTCTGTGATGGTGATTCCAAAAAATTTGGTTGACAGGGTGCGGTTTATAGGAACGCCGTTAATTAGTAGGTTTAGGTTAGGAGCTTGGTTGGTGAGTATTTTTGGGTCAAAAATAATGTATGCACATTTCGAATAATTTATGATTAGTTTGTTATTGGATACCCAGTTAAAGTATTTTTAGAGTTCAAGATTGATAAGTTCAGAGTAATCTGGTAGGTTGTTGGAAGTGAAAAGAAGGTTGGTGTCGTCTGCGAACAGTACGCATTTGGTTGAAGGCGAAACGTTGAGGAGAAAATAGAAGGGGTTCTAGTGTGGATCCTTGAAACCGGTTCCATAATTGAGAAAAAAAGTTAGGAATACAACCAAACCCAACAGTCTCGATAACATTCCGTTACTGTAAGGAGAATTCAAACCTGGGTATATGTATGGTAATGTCATAATATATATTGTTTTAACCGACCCCTTGAGCTTGTAGGGTCTGGTTATTTCTCTTTACGTGAATTCTTGATCCCTAAGCAGACTTATTTCAGATGACTTTATTAGAAAGAAAACAGTGCTGGCAATCACTTGTGTGTATTGCCGTAATCACTCGTTCGTTCGATCGTTAAATCGTTACAATACAGCACAATAACTAACAGACAAGTAAATCACGGAATACAACTATTAGTCAGTAGTTAAGTTTTTTTGTCCGACTAATTACATTGAGTTCTCTAGTCCTGGTATTTTTTACTGCAGTGAGCTTTCAGCTATCGGAATCTTACCTCCGTCACCAGTGTGTAATCTCCTGAAGATCCCACTTCTAACACCAGTGTCGTAACCTCTTCCAGAGGCGTCATTTGGGGGGAGGCAGTTGCTCCCCCCCAAGAAATCAAAATTCTAAATTGCAAACACTATAAAATAATTATATAAAATTATATAATTTATTATAATTATATATACAAAATATTGTGCTTTTTAAATTTTTAAATGTCAAGCGCTATACAATTTATTTCATTTGTTCCTACAATAATTCATGTTCTGTTTTAAAAAAACCGTTGTGTTGTCGCCATATTAACTGTCGCGTTCGCTGTTATTAATGTTATTTTGATTTAGCTGGAAGTCAATTTATATCATTTTTTAAGATAAAGAGTGATGGTGAGTTTGAATACAAATTGTTTCAGTTTCGTTAATAAATTTGATCAAACTACTAATCAATAATAAATGATTAAATTAAATTAATTATCAATGATATAAAAAATATTTTAAATCATCAAGTTGGTAAGTCAAATAACAATAACTATTTTTTCTGGATATTGTAATAAATTTTATAAAAAGTTTAGATTATATTGTAGAAAGAGGTCATCTGGAAATGAATTACAAAAGAAAAAAATTAAACTTATAAATTATAAAAGTGTTAATTTTAAATTCTTTGTAAAAAGGATATATATAGGATATATAATTTAGTAATTTTAAAACTTTAAAAATTTTGAAATTTTAAAAACTTTACAAATGCAAAATTTATTATAATGTTGCACTGACGAGACTAGGTAGTCGAAATAGTACTATATGCATGCATACATGTAGATAATGATATCTTCTGTAAATAGGAATTTTGTTAATAGCATTAACAAGTTAAGCTTGGTAGATCGGAGAATTATATAGATTGAGTACTGTAAGAAACGCCGTGATCTTTATTAATAATATATATATATATGTATATATATATATATATATATATATATATATGTTACATGCTAAGTCATAGACCACATAAGTTCGCCCCCCCCAACCAAAATCTGAAATGACGCCCCTGACCTCTTCGACTTCGTAACTACCAAGACTGATGTTATAGCTTCAGTACTCGCTAAATCCCCAACACCGTGTTTTAGATTCCAACGATAGTCAAGAGTTCATTTATCCGTAGGTTCAAGATCTCCGATAGATGAACACAACAACTTTAAAACGCAAATTACGTCAAACGTTTATTTAATACCAGCAGTAATAAAAACAATAACTTAATCCTAATAACTTTTCTTAAATTGAAATCTGAAAATGCGTGCTTATAAACTATGGGGGTTTGTGTAGTTTTAGATGATATTGGTTTGGGTAGCGCAAAAATTGGATAATGATCCGAAATATCTACTTGAATGACTCCCGAAATGAGAGGGGAGAAATCGTTTGTAAAAATGTTATCTAATAAGGACCTAGTTTCCTGGGAGACACGGGTTGGAGAGGTAAAAAAACCACATGAGTGTAAGATGTTTTTGAATGTATTGCTGTACTTATACGCATCGTTTTTTAAGAGATCAATGTTGAGGACGCCGGCAAGGTAAACATTTTAAAATTTTGATAATTTTTCTATGCCGGCAATCAAATATTCAAAAAATGAATCAACGTTTGTGTTGGGTGGTCTATAGAGAATGCTAATGATGATTGAATGTTTGCCGGGGTTTAGTTCAATGGTTAGCGTGTCAATATTATC